TGAGAACTGAATTAATTGAATGAGAAATACTCAATCGTCTGTGAAAAAAAATGTTTCTTTTTTGTTTATTTGCTTAATTTCTTCTTATTACATCGTTCTGCTTTTTTATTATAGTATTTGAATAGAATATGTGGCAACGATTAGGTAATTCTTTAAATGATATTAATTTTGTGCATTCTGAGTTATAATATAAACGAAATATAATTCTGTTAAGTGAACCTAGCGCCAGAGTGTCGCTAGGTAAACAAATAGAGCAAATTTTAAAGATTCTATTGTACTTTATTCTATTGTACTTTATGCGCTGTCGGCGAAGTAGATTTAATTCAATCCAATAAGTTTAAACGAAATGCAAGAAAAAATGCGTATAATTTAATATTCCGTACAGGGAAGTCATGTAGTGTACACATCAGATTTTTATGGCTGATATCATACATACATCATCTTTTTTGTTTTTTATCTTTTAATAAATGGGCTTTGTGAATAAATTACGTTTATTTTGTTTCTGAAGCTTTATTTGCGAGAGCTGGCATTATACTTAATTTATGGACATGAGTGTAAATGACTAGCACATCTTGATGGAAAACAAACAATGTCATACATTGTCTTAGTTGCCTTTACTAAATAAAACAGCAATAAGACTAACTTTGCTTTGTTTGTTTGTCTAACTGGTAATGATAAAGCACATGGCGAATATCTTAATGGATGTCTTCGTAGATTTTCTTACATAAACGATCTGCTGCTACACATAATCAAATTTGTTTTTAATGTTCTTTCATGTAAAGCTAATGTTTAAAGTTACAATTTTAAACATTTTTTATTTTGAATTTATTGCAGCTGAAGCCGACATCAGTGTACAAATCGCACATGGACTTCAATGATGTGATTATTGAGAAAGCTTCTTGTTACGTGTGGTTCAGGTCACAATGTGATATCAGTCGCCTATTTGTCTCTTGTTTTTTTTTTTTTTTTTTTTTTTTTTCCAAAAGCCCTGCACATTTATCGCCCTGTGAAGTCCTTCTCTTGTTACAGTGATAGCTATCTTGCTTCACATTCCATTTGCAATGATTGGTTGATAGGAGTCAAAGGTCTTCTTGGAAACTGTTTGTAAAATATCTGAGATGCGATAGTTTTTAGCCTACGTTTACAAAATTACTTTAAAAAATTCTCCGACTTGGTAAAAGATTCAACAAAAATTTGACGTGCCTTAACAGAAATCCTCTGTTTAAAACCCATCTGTCGGAAACATACTAATGTTGTTAACTATAATCCGGACCTGGTTCACTTCGTAAGAAGGAAATATTCTACAGATACAGAACTTAAGATGGCTACTCTTACAAAAAGTTTACGAAAAATACCCTCTTGCAAACTGGCTATATATTTACACGGATATTTCTATTAAAAACGCTGTGGAGGCCATTAAAAATGCTTGCTGTTACTGCATTGTTAATTTTTTAAATGTCCTTAAGGTTACAGAATGTTTCATGAAAGTAATCGGACATTCTATTGTACGAAAATAATAACAAAAATTTCAAATGCTGTTGAAGTTGCAAAATGTAATCGTGGTCAAGAAGCAAGGATGCAGCTATTGTTGACGAAGAAGTAAGAATGCAGTTATTGTTGCAGCTTTATCTGAAGTGAAGAATTAACATGCCCTCTTTTTTAAAGCTTTTTTTTTTTTTTTTTGTTTGAAAAATGAAATATCAATACGTCTTCTCTTTTAGCTAGGAAAATCGTATAAGAAAATTTTTCGGTCTGCAAAGAAAATCATCTAAAATATTCTCAATATGTAAAATGTAAATGCAATGTAAGCGGATTTTTGTGTAAATCAAAATAATCAAATCAATGTAAACGGATTTATGACATCATTTTGCACTTAAGTATGATAAGCAGTAGATAAAAATATAGTCTTCTCAAATTTTTTAGTAATTTGTTTGATAGAAATCTTGTTTTCTTATTCTCTGTTTTTTGATTAACGCAACTTCAGAAAAGCAGATGTGATTAGAAATTTGTAAATTTTTTCATAGTATGCCGTTGAAAAGTAACAAAATATGTTAGAAAAGTTGCTGAAATAATTTAAATAATTCATTTAATTCATTTAACAATTTCTGATAAAATGAGATGTTATTCAAATCATCATAAAGTCAAAATGAAAGAACAGACCATCATTGATGTCCTGTGGAATATATCGAAACATATCAAGACTGAGTTCTGCCAAATTTTCAGCAGGATATATTAAATCATTTGTGGAATATCTGTCTACCCAGAGATTTTAAAATAGCAGCCCGATCAACTCAGTAGACGGGTAGCGAGGGAAAACAATCAGTGCTACTAAAATGTCAAAGATCTTCCAACTTTCATGCTCAAAATTTATAAGAAATACGAAATTTGAATACTTACATAGCTAAAAAATTGCTTATGAAAAGTAATTTAATATCTTTGCTTGGGATACTCGGTTTATAGAAGGGAGAACCTCCAAATATGAACTTTACAACCGGAACAGTATTTTGTTGTTTCTAATCCTTCTAATCTGCACCTGCAGCCAAATGAGACTCTCGAATTTTATCGTGGTCAAGAAGCAAGAATGCATCTGTTGTTGGGTTAGGCCTTGAGCATCTTATAAGTGAAAGAAATAACAAGACTAAATTCCGCTCCGTTGTAAATTTGAGGGAAAATCCCCGTATGACGGAGTCTTCCCTATCTTTTCCCCTATCACCAGCTTCTCAAGGGGATTTTCGCCTAGCCCAAGGTTGTTGCAGCCGGCTGTCATACTACCATTCCAACAAAGAAGCAGAACTAACTGTAGTATATGGTGGTGAAAGAATTGAGAAGAGAAATAGTAGTTAGCTCGCCAGTCGTCCAGGAAAACCATAATTATAAGTTTATTAATGGTGTACTAGATCAGGACAAATACACTGATATTTGGAAATAAATTTTAAAACCTTTAGCACAAAAATATTAACATCCAAAATGATTCTAAATTCATCCGAGACTCATCATCCGAGATTCTAAGCATACTGATATGAACGTGAGATTCTGCCTGATGTTTAGCTACCTTGAGAAATGTGCAAAACACTTTCTAAATGTTCACAGTTAAAATCTGTCGGACATGTTTGGAAAGTAGCAGCTTTGGACTGTAGGGTGTTAGCGGAGGCGGATTACCAGTCCAAAATATAAGATGTAGACTAAATTCCTTTGTGAGGCTTAGCTATTAATATTGTTACGAAATTTGTATATATGTAAATAATTTTAGTTAAATTATAAGTGAAATTGTAGTATTTTTAAATGATGTAACACGAAATGCTTGAAAGAGTCGAAGCTCTGCGGAAAAATAAGATTACAGAGGTCAAATTCACTTGTATCTAACATTCAGGTAAATGTGTAGAGACATCAGGTTATTTCGAAGCGGAAGACATGAAAAATGAGCAATGCCCTCGCCGAGACTCGAACTATGGACCTCTCGAATACGCGTCGAGCGTGCTGATCATTACACCACGAAGGCATGCTAAGAAGGCGGGAGAAATACCTTATATAATCCCCCCTTTTAAAGGTCGAGTGGGGATTAGGGGACCAAATCTTGGTGGTGGAGAATCATCATCCACCACCTTTTTTAGTCCGGACGCCACTGTAAAGACATTACGAACATGCCAACCACTATACCACGCAAGAAAACGGGAGAAATGCCTTATAAATGGCTATCTTAGTAATTTGGCGAGATGTCACCAGGTTTAGGCGATTGATTGTTGTCTCCAAATTTGGCGAATGGTCGCCACAAGTCGCCAAACTTGGCAACAATTTGGGAACATTTTGTACAGATTCCTGTATAACTATAATTGGCATTGTAATTGATCCCTATATGTAAGTGTAACCGTATCCGGGCTTCATATGCCTTCCAGTAATTTCTAGGACTGGAAGGTACTAGAGAATTCTGGGCGACTGAAGAAAGACTATATAAGACTAGGGAGAACATCAGTTTCTCAGTTGTTCAGTTGAGCGTTGGGTACGGAGTACTGAGAGGTCTCCGTGTGAGCTTTTTAGATGCGCTTTGCATTACTCCGTGTTTAACGTTGTTAGTAGTTTGAAGTGTAACTACTGATTGTACTCTGTGATACTGTGGAGAGCTGTACGAGTATTTTTGTGTAAAGTGAAGTGAAGTGTTTTTTTTTTTTTTTTTGTGAACTATGAAGTATTTCTTTTGGTAAAATAAATCTTATCAAGCCATCAGCAGTTCTGTGTACATTCAATCTATTTACGAATCTGTACTCGTGTTATCTTCTTTCTTTCTTCGCGGACGTTAATATCGATCATCCCTTGTGGTGCATCCTGGGCAAAGTTCTTAATCATGAGACTGTTTAATGACTGACATTGCCGCCATTTCTTAAATAATAAATGCTTAACAAGCAGATATAGGACTATTTGATCTAAGAAAAGGGGGGCAGGTAATGGAATACAAATTCGGAAACAAAGTAGTTCTTTAAACGAATAGGCGAAATATGTAATATAAGGTAGATGGCAGAGAAAATTCAGTCTCCAAATAACGTTAAATTCATTATAAACTATGATTTTCTAAACTATGATTATTTTAAACTAAGATGATTCTAAACTATGAAGATAAACCTATGTTTTCAAAACTATTTGCAATTCAACAAAATATCAATAAAAATTTTTAAAACAATTTTTTTTTGACTTAGTTGATGGAACTGAAGAATCCGATTATTTAGTGAGCATATATTATGCATATTTTCTATAAAAAGTTATTGCTTTAAACTTTTAATATCATGCCATAAACAAATTGGGTGATCCAACGATAACCAAAATAATAGTTTTAAGATTCAAGGAAATGATTTGTAAAATATTTATTTTTATTTCAGAAATTGCTATATAAATGAAACAAAAATATGCGTGTAGAACATTTGCTTCTAAATAATCGAATACTATTTACATTCAAAATCTAACAAAATTATTGTATTCCATGAAATTTATGCTTTACAATAGTCAGCCATTTAATGATCTCCGTTATTACACACTTCTTTCCTTTCCTGTATTTTCTCGAACTCTGCAGTCGCCTCATGCGTAATCTTCGTCATACACTTTCCAAAACGAAATGTTGCCCTGGGAATATGACCTGTATAGCCTGGAACAGTTCCTGCTCTTCGTTTTAGATCATTCGCTGTGATTTCATGCAAATAGCAGAAAAATTTTACCTCTTCCTCCGACGCTACAGTTTCTGGTTTCCGATGGTGGATTGGACGAAGTCGATCTCCAGCTATTGGGTGTTTGGCAAATCGAATGTGAGACATGCGACCGTAAGTCTCGCCAATAACATCAGATCGCTTGACACCAGATCCGGGAATCCAACCAGTGTATCCAGGCATGACGTGAGGCTCTAGAGTATAGTGAGGATTGTCCTGTAGCTTCTTAGGATCTACATGATGTCGATCTACACACTGTTTAATAATTCGGTTATCTCCCGCTAAAACACTTAAGCGCCCACCTCCAACAGGATGATCAATGAGGAGATCGTGAGTATAATGCCCATAAGTACCACCAAAGGTGAAATGCCTCTGAGGTCCTGCTCCAGGAGTGCATCCCGTGTATCCAGGAATGAAGTGAGGTTGAGGTGTTTCCATGGATGACAGATCTTGCACCAAACTCGAACCGTAGTTTGCTTCTAAGGTATCGCCATTGTGGCAAAACATATTTAAACTTTTTGAGCATAATGATTTGTCGTACATAATTAATTCAAGCGAAGATTGTAAATTTGCAATGCATAGGTTTAAACTTAAATCCGAGATACTTGCTTTAAAATAGATGGTAATTTGTTTTCATTCTGATTATTGAACTGTATTTAAACTAAACAAAACAGAATTGTGTTTTGTTGCCATCTTATAAATTACAAAGCTTAATTTTTATCTTTCCCGGAACAATACAGCATTGAATTTGATTTCCAAGTCGGTAAACAAATAAAGTAACTATTTTGTTTTTTTTTTAAATCAACATGAGCAGATTCCTAAAAATCCCATTTGAACAATTTTATTTATTAAAACAAGATTTATATTATAGTATACTATGTAATATTGTATATTTATTACAAAAATTTTATTTATAAGATTTATACTATAATAGTATATTACGAGATATTGCAGTTTTATTACCGTTAAATTACCCTTAAATTTGGAGTAAAGTTCATTAAAAGACGCTCAGTGTTGCTAATGAAAAGAGACTCGTACTGTTATCTCAAAAAATGCAATGAGTTTCTTTTATTGAAACTAATGTCAAGGAAAGAGCGAATTTTAGAATTATTAAATTTCAAGATAGCGTAATATCAATTCATATTTTATACATTATTCCGAATTTTGTACATAGACAGATGATTTTAGTGCAATTATATGTGAAATTGCTATATTTTTTCCCTGCATAATGTAATATGAAAACCTAGATACGAAGCTTGCTGGAAAAGCAAGAATACAGGGGCAAATCTATTTTATATTGAGTAACGGCTATCTCTCTAATTTGGCGAAATATCGCCAAACTGGCAACGATTTCTCCAAATGTTTCAAAGACTTTAAAATAACATGACACTATAGTTCCTTAGCAAAAATGTAAAATCATGTAACAACAACAAACAATACTAAAGTAGTAAAAGTTACCTCGTAAAAACTAAATGTAAAAATTATAAATCGATATGACTTCAAAATCAAAAATGGTGAGAAAAAATTAAGAAATTTTAATGCACAAATTATTTTAAAACGACGCTTGTAAAAATTAAATACATTTCAAATATACAGTAAATATGAGCAAAAAATTGCAACAAATGGAAAATTAGCTCAACCCGAGGTTTGAGCCGGATTTATCAAGGAAAAAGCAGCTCAAAACTCGAATAAAGTTAATACCTTTAGCGAGTTTCGTCAAAAGATGATAATTGAGACTATAAACGTAATTTCATTAAACATATTTAATGTTTTTAATTAGATGCATCAAGGATTAAATGCATTTTATTTAAATCAATTAAATGGAATAAAAAATAATACTCTTATGAATTGCGTTTATCACTTTTAAATATTTATTTTGTTAATTAACAACAACAAACAAACAAATTAAATATGAAAGAATATTACCTTACGTTTTTCCGAATATCAACAGTCTCGAACGAAAAGTGAAATAACGCATTTAAGTTTTTCGAAACTAATAGCCGTTTTGGGCTAAAAATAGCATGCAGTCACATTGCGAATTTATTCTAGGCGTAAAAGTCAAACTGGATCAGAAAAGCGTTTTTACCAGCTATGAAAAAAGAAAAAAAATTCAAAAGCTTAAGCAGAGCTGCTTTTAAGCATTTAAAGACCTAATTATTTTTTTATTACCCTAACAAAAGTTTTAAATTTATTCGGTCTTAAATAGAAGACACGATCTTGTTATTTAAAATCTGATATCCAAGATCATTTGCAGCAAACAATACTTGATTAGTTTCATTTCCACCATAATCCATTTTATATTCCGATATTCGTCGCCAGTAGATAGAAAATGGGCGTTCTGCATCAGGAGGAGCTGGGGCGTGGTCAATGACGTCACACAGAGGG